TATTAAATTAACTAGTATTTTCACCCATGCGATGCACGGAATAGATTTGTTGTTCAATATTTAAATATTTGGTGTTTGATATATTACAACAAATCTATTCCGTGGCCTTATTGCTCTTTTCTGTGTAGTTTAGTGATTAATATATTACTCTTGTTGGGGAAAGTCTTGTGACTTCCTGTTTCTTTATTTCAGTTTCTAGTCAATAAATATAAATCGTTGTTCTTTTCTCAAACAATTTGGTCTGACCTGTCGTTGAATGACAAACACACAAAATTCCCGAGTAGAGTAGTAGAGACGTTAGAGAAGAACCAAGATGCAATCCGTGCTGAATTGGCCACATGGAATGATCGATTTGTAGCCATGGAAGCTTCCATGGCTAGGATGTCTGATCGCCTCGCTCTATCCTTCCAAGGCGGAGGGCACAACAATGCCAGTGCTTCATTAACTTCCATCCCAACGCCGAATTCAACCTCTCTTCCAGAACATGTTCACTCGGACAACACCTCGCTGCCCATTGGAAAAAATAGAACTTCCTACATTTAAAGGCACAGATCCGATTGGGTGGTTAGCTAGAGTGGAGGAGTACTTTGCCATTCATCACACCTGAGAGGATTTGAAAGTCCCAACAGCTTTCGTTAGTATGGAGGGGGTAGCTCTACATTGGCTCCGATGGCTACAACAACAACAAACCACTCTTACTTGGACTCAATTCACGCATGACCTTTTGGAAGAATTTGGTGAAGAATTGCCTAGGCCACCGTTTGAACAGCTTGCCGCTCTTCGTCAAACGGGCTTGGTGGATGAATTAATCACTGCGTTTCGAGCTCGAATTGCCCAAATTCCTGGACTCTCTCCTCATATTCAATTAGGGATTTTTCTCAACGGCTCGAAACCTGCAATTCGAGTGCGGTTCCGACCGAACGATGTGACAGATCTCCGAACAGCGATGCGTGTCACTCGCGCAACAGAACGAGAAATTGAATTTCTCTCCACAGGCCGGCTCCTTTGACGCAATCTGCAAGAAGAAAATGCAGCCCTCCAGATAATTCCTTCACATAGTGGGTTTACTTGGTCTAATAGGCATGGGAAGAATTACCAAACCAATTCTTTTTCGAATTATTCATAGCCTAAACCCATTCCAACCCAGTCTCAATTCTCTAGTAGCAATCAAACATCTTCATATTCCTCCCAAACACAACCTGCTTTTCTTGCTATGCAGTCTTCAATGCGCAATTCCGGCACGTCAACGTCACGAGCTCCAGCACGACATTATTCTAACAAAAAGTATCTGGACATGCGCGCCAAAGGACTTTGTTTCCGTTGTCAGCAACCCTACAGTCCGCTTCATGTATGCCCGAATAAATCCTTGCAAACTCTAATTGCAGCAGAGGATGACAAGGACAAAACGAGCGACGAGCCTGGTGTAACTGACGAAATCGACACCGGACAATATAAGGTAGTATTTCCACCTAGCCTTGGGGACAAGGCTGTTTCTTTTGTGGGTGGCAATGATACACACCCAAAATAAGAGATAGTTTACTCAGAAAAAGGAATGAAGAAAATAAGACAAATCAGAATACATAAGGAAAGGTTTAGCTCAAGGGATTTGACAAGAATAAAATCAAAGGCACAATCATATCAACAATATCTCATTTTCTATAATTATTTATTTCCTAGCACTATAAATTAGAACCTCTAGATGAGAGTAAATCAGCCAATCTTTATCCTTAGTCCTTAAGCTTTAGTAGCTAGGCAAGAGTCTAAAACTCTTGTGGGGCAAGAGCCTAAAACTCTTGTTCGGGAAAGTCAAGTGACTTCCTGTTTCTTTATTTTAGTTTATAGTCAATAAAAATACATCATTGTTCTTATCTCTAACATACACCTACAATTCAGAATTTACAAAACAACCTTAAATATCATCACAGGCTCTATTATACAGTGTGTTCAATTCTTGAATGATATGCCAGGGCAGTATACCTTGGAAGAAAGGCATAGGGCAATCTCTGAAAGAAGAACCAGACACACAGGAAAAAGATGAATATACTGCAACATTATATTTTTACTTGTCAAAGAAATGAAATAAAATGCCAAAGCAGAAAACAAGAGATTCAATATTAGGCTCAGATCAATATGGATAAAGTCCATCGTGTTCATTTCATCGTCTTAAGTTAACAAGCAGGAAAAAAAAACCCATGTTTCATTTCTTACATTTCTATCTTACATTTCTAAGATTGCTAAAACAGGCAACTCCATGTTTCAAATAATGTGGATTGAGTATACTATAATACTTAAAGAGTGACTAATAATATAACAAAGCACAGAAACTGCATGCCATAAAACATACCAGGAAAGAAGAAGAAAATTATTAAAGGTGAATAAGCAGTGCCAAGAATGTTATCCAAAAGCCATACTCACCCCTACAAATCAATAATGTTCAATTTGTTTATTGAAGCTTGGAATTTAATAGCATGCACTCACCATGACGATAAACCACAAAAAATAAGGAGAGAGCAGCTTACTTGATCCATGAGATGAGAGGTGATGGGGCTTGCAAAGCAAACAAAGGAACAAGAAAAGATTTGTGAATAGAAATTCCCTTGGCAAGCATCAAAACCCTAAGGAAGAGAATCGAAGAATTGTGAGAATAAAACATATATGCAAGTCTTGGCACTCATATTACTAATCAACAATGACCTAAAAACCAGTATAGCATTGTACCAATGATATGGCATGACTAAAACTAAAACTGTATTAGTGTCAAATAACACCAACTGGCATGCACCAAGCTTTAGCATCCCAACAACACCAAAGATTGTTTGAACTTTAGGAACACAAAGAGTGCTGCAATGTGGCATTTCATCTAAAGAAGCAAACATGCACCAAATAAAATGCATAGTTAGTTGGTGGAAAGAAAAGTAAAAGAAACCCAAACAAGAATGTTAGTAAGTAGCAGACAACCTATTAAATTCATAGATGCATCAACCCAACTGATTTCCTTACACAAAACAGAAGATCCATCCGTGGGCTCAGTGACATATTAATCAGAAAATTCCCACAGCCTCATCATTGTATATAAGTTCGGTGCAGGATCTACCTTCTCCATCATTATTGGAACTCCATCACCACTGGAACTAAAAAATAGAATTTGATAAATAAGCCACATCTTTATAGCCTCATTCAATTCTAAAGTGGAATGTTAGACAATAATCATCTCAAGAACATTTATTTGATAACGTAAAACTGTATGTTCCATGAAAATAGAAGTTCACATATCAAGTTTCTTAACCTCCCAATATGGATTCATGCATGCTAAAGAGCCAGAGTAAAGTGATTGCAGTAATTTCCCATTTTAGATACACAACTGATACTATCTAAAACCTCTAAGTCCAATTACACTTTCAAGTTACTGAATAAACATTCCAACACTTTGGAACTACTTTGCGTCCAGCATAAGGCTTTAGATAAGAGTATTGAAAATATGTTTATTGTATAGGAAATGAGTCCACCCTCTACGTCTAAACCTTTAAGCAAAATCCATGTTCCATGAACAAAGTGAAAATAAGAACTTTTTGTACAACTTGAATCTCAAACCTTTGGAACTGGTGGTTTTCTTGATATAGTTCCAAAACCTTTCTTCATAAATAAAGCTATTTTGTAGAACTTGAATCTAAATCCATCTCTCATCCATCATTAATTGATCTATCACGCAATTACTAATTGCTATTTTAGGTTATTTCAGTAATTCAGTAGAAAAGAAATACATACTCATGGCCAAGATGAAACATACATAGAAAATTATTACATTTAATAAGTAAATATAAGAAAATCTAGCAGTAAATTTATGGGCCCGACTACAAGAATGTTGACATATAGCGACGTTTTTTAAACGTCGGTAAAAATAACAATACGTCGCCAAATATCTTTATTGACGAAATAAAAACGTCATCCGGACCGTCGGGTTAGCGGCATATGAAAAGGTATTACAGACGAAGTTAATTTTTCGTCACAAAATATTACGATTATTGACGTTTTTGCATGGTTTTGATAATGTCATTTGTAAGTGTACATATTTTGTACACATTAAACCTATGTTGGCTAATTTATTTTTATAAATAATAGACATGGGATTAGCCAAAGCTCTTGGACCATTTTTATTCATCATATGGTAAATGTTTGAGTGGCTCTTGTTTATTAGTGATATGAAGGGGAAATCAACTAACAGATTATGGTTCAAGCAAAATGTGTGGTGTTTAAACGAATGGCTGAGAATGAGTTACTATGTTGGAAAGCTACTTTTGTACCTTGAGAAATTGGAAGCTTCATCACTATAAAAGGAAAGGAAGATCATTGTGGAAGTTGCCAATTTGAGATTTAATATTGTTTTGAGAAGTGAATATTATACTGCTAACAAATTGAATTCAATATATTATTCAGCTGAGCTACGGTCTACGCCTGAGTCCGTCGAAGTCTGCTGAGCAACGGTCTGCGCCTGATTCAGTTGAAGTACTATTCGAAGGATATCAAGGCATGCACGTCATGGTCCAGGTTGGATGTTAGGAAGGTTGTTTGTAGTATGGTAGCTAACACTGTGAGAGTCTAATGTACTGTTCTATTTTAAAACTCCTCGGTGAACATCTATAGTGGATTGGGCAGATGTGGGTTGCCCCGCAGACGTAGGAGAAACGCTCCGAACTGCGTAACAAATCTCTGTGTACTTGATTTAATTACTGCTTTTATTTTCTGTTATTTACTATCACTAAATAACTAAAAATTAAACGGTCAAAATTTAATATGAGTATAAAAATCAAGTAGAAGTTTCAGGTTCAGATAGTTTAAGGTTCACGGTATTATTTCAATTTGTATCAAAGCCTGGAGGCTTAAGTTACTAGTCTTTCGATCTGGCTATTACGTGTTCCTTATTTTTAAGTGTTTAGCGGTTTTCAATACTGTTCTTCCTGTTATTACTTTGTTCAATCTCACTTGTTGCTAAGTGTTTCAGAATGGAAAGGTTCAGGCCACTTCCCCAGCTTACAGGTGATAACTACGCATATTGGAAGGCTCGAACAAGAACTCACCTTAAAGCTCAAGGAGATCAGGTTTGGCGGGCGGTACTGACTGGTTGGACTCCACCTACAAAACCTGGAGAAAAAGACGGTGATCCACCAGTGATAAAACCTGAAACCGAGATAACTCAAGCTGAAATTACCACTGCTGGATATAACGATAAGGCTCTTTACAAAATCTATTCCTTAATGCATGAAAATCAATTTTCGTTGGTTACAGGTATTGATTGTGCAAAAACTGCGTGGGAAGTACTCGAAACCACCTATGAAGGTACACGTTCAGTTAAACAGTCAAAGCTTCAGCTGGTAAAAACTGAATTTGGGGGACTTCGTATGAACGAAGACGAAGATATTGTGAGTTTTCCCGAACGCATACAAGAGTTAGCTAATCGAGCAATAATTCTTGGAAAACCTTTCTCCCAACAAAAACTTGTCAAAAAAAGCCTAAGGTCTTTACCTCCGAGATTCAGGATGAAGGTAACCGCTATTCAAGAACATTATGGCTGGGAGAACAAATCAGTGGCTCAACTAATGGGCAATCTTCGAACCTACGAAATTGAAATTCTTACTGATCACACCAAAAAGCAAATGACAGTTGCATTTGTTGCTGAAGAACATGATGATACCGCTAACCCAGACGAATCAGGTGATAATCCAGTTGCGCTTTTAACTAAACAATTTTCTAATTTTTTGAAATAGGTATCTCAGAAGAATTCACAAAACAAAAATTTCAAAAAGGAGCAAGCTCAAACATGTCGAAAACTGGTACAAAAACTAGCATGTCAAAATCAAAACCTGCTGCCTCACATCCAGCCCACTCCAAGGAAAAATCAAACAACAAAGGAGTAAAAGGCTACGAGTGTGAGGGTTTTGGTCATGTTCAAGCTGAATGTCCAACTTATCTTAGGCGAAAGAAGTCCATGACAGCCACAACTTGGAGTGATGACGAACTTGAATCAGAAGCTGCTGATTCTGATGCAGAAGAAATGTTCGATAATTTTGTAGCTTTTTCTGCTAGAGTTGCGACATGTTCAGAACCTGAAGATGCATCTGACACGGAGGGTGGTGAATACAACTCGGCGAAAGACCATGAAATACCATATTTATCTTATGAAGTAGAGTTTAACAAGTTGTATCCCAAGTGGGAAGCATTACTTAAAGCAAATCGTATAGTGTCTAGTGAGTTAGAGTATTGCAAAATGCTGTAAACGTGTTCAAAGGTCAAGTAGCAGATAGGGACGCATTAATTAAAGAATACACTGACCGAGAAGAGAAACCGAAACAGGAAGTCAAGAAACTGAAGTTGGAACTGAGTACTTACAAAAAGAAAATCCAAATGATGGATACCACTTCAACTCTTGATGAAATTCTTGGTTCTGGGCGGCAATCCTGTGCAAGGTTTGGTATTGGCTTTACTGGAGGAACCAACAAAGACAAAACTACTTTTGTCAAGACATCTGATCCACGTCCAGAAGATACTCCTGAATCAAGCACAACTAAACAATATCGTGAATCAGCGCCTGCCACTAGCTCAGCATGGCGAACACGAGGTACAGTACGTAACAAGTTTAATTATAAGGTATATAATCCAGTGTGTCACTATTGTAGGTTACGAGGACACATCATACCAGAGTGTTATTACTTCTACAAAGAACAAAGGGCCGAAAAATATAGCCATAAGTACATTACTCCGTTTATCAAACAAGTATGGGTAAAGAAATCCAACTATATCAGTCTTGTATCCTTTCACTCTAAAAATGCAGGTAGGGATGAAAAATTTTATTTCGACAGCGGTTGCTCACGTCACATGACCGGAAATGCAAAATTTCTAAGTGACATAAACACAAGCAACGGTGAAGTAACCTTTGGTGATGGAGTCAAAGGACAAGTAACCGGAGTAGGTACTCTAAATGTTGCAGGTCTACCGAAGTTGAAAAAGGTGCTACTGGTAAACGGACTCCATGCCAACCTCATATGCATTAGCCAACTCTGCGACCAAAACTCGAATGTTAGCTTCACCAAAGACAACTGCAGCGTTATGGATAATGAAAAGCACTGTGTTATGGAAGGTAAGCGATCAACAGACAGTTGCTATATTCTAACAAATGATATCCCCTATTGCAGGTCCAGCATAAATGAGTCTGAGTTGTGGCATCAAAAATTAGGGCGTCAGCAATCCAACTATGTAAATTTCTTTTTGCCCGTATTAATAAAATTTCAGGTACACTAATTCACAAATAAATATTACATAGTGTTACTAATATTTTTTTTTCTCTCGTGTGCAGATTAAGTCTTAAAGCTAACAGTGATAAAAGCTATCTTGAATTCACTTTTTAAAAGCCAAGTTTCTTTTTCTCTCGTGTGCAGATTAAGTCCTAAAGATGATGTTTGTTTTGATATCTTTTTGAACATGAATTATCCATTCTAGTTTATATATATATATATATATATGTGTGTGTGTGTGTGTGTGTGTGTGTGTGTGTGTGTGTGTGTGTGTGTGTGTGTGTGTGTGTGTGTGTGTGTATCTCTGGATTCATTAAATCATCGGGTACTTTTAATCTTTCAGATTCTTTCTCTTTACTTGTTCATTTATTTATTTAAAGTGTTCGTTTAATTTGCTTGGGTTATTCTTTATGTTTTGTTATTGGCTATTTCTGTGTGTTCACTAAATGTCCTATCTACATTGTGTTGGCTGCTTTTGATATGATAATTCTTTCATTATGCATTTTTGTTGGTGTTTCCTGTGTTAAAATATTTTTGCTTGAATAATAAATTTGGTGCAATTTGATTAATGTGTTTATTTCTCAGTGTTATTTGTTTGGTCCGGTCCGGTCATGACCGTATTTGTGTGTTTTCTCGTGCTATCTGGTATGAATCTGTGCCTAAATTTGATTTATATGAGTATGTGCCTGATTTTGCTTTATTTGAATCTTTGGCTGAATATGCTTTACCTGAATGTGTTGACTGTTTTATTTGCTAATTTTTCTGTTTTGTTTGAATCTAATTGAAAATTCCTGAATTTTTTTTGTTCGTCTGTGTTTTGCTGAGTTGTTTCCAAGTTGCATGTGTCTGGCTCTAGGACTCTCATTTTTTTTTTTAAAACTTCTGCAGGTTCAAACAAAGCAAATAACTTATTATGGAGTCCCAATTACAGCTTCAAGCAAACGAAAATTTGGCAAAGAAAACAATCATGGCGTACATTTTTAGGGGGGGGGGGGCGGGGGGGGGGGGGGGTTCTTTTTAATCTCTTATGAATAAATACAATTTGTGTATTGGTATTTTCGGCTATATTGGTTTTCTTGGGTATATATGGATTCTCTTACTGAAATTTATCAGTTTTTGGATTATCTACTTGATGAGATTATTTATGAGGAATATTTTTTGATGGATGGGATTTCTTATAAGGTTTTATCTTCTTGGTGTATGATATTTGACACTGATCAATATGATGCACGATTGGATACGAGGGAGAAATTATAAAATACGGGGGTATAAGCCAGCAAGTAAGTATGAGGGCTGATACTGGCGCTACTACCACTGGTTCTAAAACTGATGATGATGACGACAACTCAGTTTCGGGCACCCCGTCTACACGCTAATCTGATCCACTATATGATGTTCACCGATATTTTTTTGTCACTTATTTGGCAAAAAAGGGGGAGTAATAGAAGGAGGAGTTTTATTTTGACCTTCTGGCTATTTTGGAATATGAAATAAGGGGGATATAAGAAAGGGGGAGCAGTAGGAAAGTTTGATGTATTGGTTTGACTGCGACATATGGTATTTTTTTGGTATGGCTTGTCTACAACTCTATTATGCTACACTTTTTGGTAATCTCTGACTATTATATCTCTCTTCAGTTTATGGTTATTATTCTTAGTTTCTGGGTATTATTATCTTAACAGTGAACTTATTGTTATTGGACGATCAGCTTTTATTTAGCTAATCTATCTATTGGTTATCAATTATTCCATCTGAATATTGAGTTTTCTCGGGGTTTATAAACTTCACACATAGTCTCTGAATATTAATACAGTGAGCTCATGGATGGAACATGGTCTACAAGAGCTTTTGGTATTTTCTTATTCTTACCTTAGGTAATTGTATGGCACTTATTCTAAGGGCTTATTCTAAAAAAAATTATTTAATTGTTGTTTGCCCAAAGTATTAAAGTGCTACTAGTTTTTGCAAAATAAATTGCCAAAGGGAGAGATTGTAAGTGTACATATTTTGTACACATTTAACCTATGTTAGCTAATTTATTTTTATAAATAATAGACTTAGGATTAGCCAAAGCTCTTGGACCATTTTTATTCATCATATGGTAAATGTTTGAGTGGCTCTTGTTTATTAGTGATATGAAGGGGAAATCAACTAACAGATTATGGTTCAAGCAAAATGTGTGGTGTTTAAACGAATGGTTGAGAATGAGTTACTATGTTGGAAAGCTACTTTTGTGCCTTGAGAAATTAGAAGCTTCATCACTATAAAAGGAAAGGAAGATCATTGTGGAAGTTGTCAATTTGAGATTTAATATTGTTTTGAGAAGTGAATATTATACTGCTAACAAATTGAATTCAATATATTATTCTGCTGAGCTACGGTCTGTGCCTGAGTCAGTCGAAGTCTGCTGAGCAATGGTCTGCGCCTAATTCGGTTGAAGTACTATTCGAAGGATATCAAGGCATGCACGTCACGGTCCAGGTTGGATGTAGGAAGGTTGTTTGTAGTATGGTAGCTAAGACTGTGAGAGTCTAATGTACTGTTCAATTGTAAAACTCCTCGGTGAACATCTATAGTAGATTGGACAGACGTGGGTTGCCCCGCAAACATAGGAGAAGCGCTCCGAACTGCGTAACAAATCTCTGTGTACTTGATTTAATTACTGCTTTTATTTTCGGTTATTTACTATCACTAAATAACTAAAAACTAATCGGTCAAAATTTAATATGAGTATAAAAATCAAGTAGAAGTTTCAGGTTCGGATAGTTTAAGGTTCACGACATTATTTCATCATTGAATACATAATTTTTGCAACGAAATATTAAAAAAAACGTCGGTAATAGTTTTTGACGAAGTAAAATATTTCGTCAACAAATGTATCTTTACTGACGTTTTCCATACAATTATGCTTGTCATTAATAAATTTAATTGATGACGAAAAATGAAATGCGTCAATAAAATAACATTTGTTAACGATTGTGTACATTATTATGCTACCAGTAAAAAGATATTTACTGACGTTTTTTCCATTTTCATTTTTCATACAAAATTTTATATTTGGAGATATTTACAATTTGGTGACACTATTGATGATAATTTGCATATGCTTGTATATAGAATGGTTTACACAACAGTTTCATGAAATTGAAAATAAAATATTTTAGCATAAATTAAATGTTCAAAATAGAATAATATTTTTCATAGTATAATATTGAATTACGAAGATGTAATGTGATACAAATGATTAATCTTAAATAAATCCAGACTAGACACGGGAATATATACAATTCTATGCACATAAAGATGGGTAATAATTCTCATCTTCATCAAAACTATTGAGATCAGCACTTTGGAAGTCCATTGTCTTGGGGAGAATGTCTGAGTTGATGAGTACATCTAGACATGCAATAATTCCCTGCCACTAAAAAAACGTAAATGTTTTTCAAGCATGAGTAATAAATTATTCAAAAGTATATATTCAACTCAATCAGATAGTTAATTTACCAACCTTTTATACTTTCTTGTAATAAATAAAGAAGCAGCCACGGAGTAAATAGTAAACAATGCACATGTGTTGATGTATAAGAGCGCAACAACACAATTCACATTGAAGGAAAATTAAAATAAATTTATTTCTTGTGAACCTTCTCATCATTAACAGAGCTTACAGTAAGGTTCTCAACATATACCCCTTTCTTTAAGTCCTCTCTAAGCTATAGCACAAAGTAACAACTTTAGTCACTGCAATGATACAGAGTGTAAAACAGCTATGACAATCTAATACGAAGAACAAAATAATTACTTACACGAAGATTAGTTGATGATGGCTCAAGGAGGTGTGTGATTTGCTCATTATATATCTCTAGAAAAGAACATTTGCTGCTGAACTTCAACCTCTTAGTACTTTGTCTCTCCTCTTCCTTTAGGAACATAGCATTTGTAAGGAAAACTTGATATACATAAACACACTAATCAGTAATAGAATCTAGTATACTCATAATATATATATATATATATATATATATATATATATATATATATATATATATATATGTATATGTATATATATATATATAACATATCCAAGATAGAGAAAGAAAAATGCACATTTTTTGTTGGAGCAGTTGGAATTATTGGAAAATTTTAAGGATATTAGGTAATGACTAATGATGAAGAATGAAACTACCATAGGATTGTTGTGGTCATTAGGAGCTAGAAATATAATACATCCCACATGAAGAAATATTACTAGAAATAAATGGATAAGTACGTTTATATATATAGGGTTAGGTTCCTGTGACGTCAGGTCTTTTCGTGCGTTCAGTGCGGCATACACCATTAGGTATGCAAAAATGCACTACACAGTGTTCTTAAATACACCATTATGTGTGGTGTATTTTTTTTTTTTTTTGTGTGGTGTATTTTTTGGCATTTCATTCTGGTGTATTTTCTTACACTGTATGGTGCATTTATGCATACCTAATGGTGTATGCCACACTGACCACACGGGAAGACCTGACCTCACAGGAACCAAAATATATAGGCTCCGGATCCCACGACGTCACTTAGATGGATGAGATCAAGAGATCTCATCTCATCCATTAAATCATTACATATAGATGGGTGAGATTGAAAGAGATTTGATATGCATTTAAGGTAGTAGTCAATGCATAAGGGTGAATAAGTAATTGTAATATAGGAGCTATTTATGGTTACAAATAAATTGGAATATATACCATGTAAAGGATCAACTAATTATGTGATTAGATTATATATTAACGGTAATAAATATTTTTGATATTGTGGTGAGACCTGTACTAAAGCTTTCGCAAATAAGAAACCAAGGGTAGCGGTCGTTTCTCAAGGCCACAGAGATGGCGAATATGGGAAGAGGTATGTGCAACCGTACTAG